CTAAACAAACGTTTAAGCTCCGAAACCAAACCAACAAGCACAGATTCTAATTAATTTTCTACAGACATGTGTTGCGTGTGAATATAGAAAAAGCACAAAAAAAAAAAAATTATTTTCGTCAACAATCAATTATGATATATGAAGAATAATTAATGGTGCATGATGATGATGCTTCCAGTCCGAAGAGGGACCTTCTCCCAACCAAATATCTAATAATGTTAGCTAGCTAGCTGGCTTTGCAGAACCGACCTATAACAACAAGTAGTGGCGCCTGTGAAAAAAGTTTGAATCTTTTGGCTCAGTACATGCATATATATTCTTCACTCTACTTGAAGAAATGTTTTCTATCTCTGATGAATCAAAATTTGAACAGAGTTCCTCATCATCATCATCACCACACCACTACCTTTTTCCCTACACAAACTTAGATTGAGGGATGGCCGCGGCAGGTGCAAGTGGTAACTAGTGGAGGGAAAATGAAGTAAGAAACACAAGTAGCGTTCAACACCAAATCCCATGTTTCCACCACAAAAATGGAAATGAAAACAATATTCATTCACACCCATTTTAATTTGTTTGCTAGGTATCTACTAAACAAAGCAACTAAGCACCTCATCCTCTCATTCTTAATTTGTATGGCTCAAATCAAATTTGTTGCTTGCCATACACATTCCATCTTTTCTCTGTCCAAATCAAATCTAGCTACAGCTACTGTCAAAATAGATATTATTTATCTTGTGAGATCGATCTTCATGCTCCGAAAGGAAAAGAGAAAAAGAATTTTTTTTTTTTTTTAAGAAATCTTTAGAAGGAAGGGTAAACAAGATTTAATTTATTTTTGGGTTGCCTCAAAAACACGATGGAGATAGGAATGACGTTTGGCTTAAGATTTTAAGTTTATAACGATAATGGAATATTAAATGTATAGATATATATCATTATTATTATTATTATTGATAGAGTTGGAATCATTAATTAAATTAAAGATATTTTCTTGAAAGGGGAAATAAAATTAATATTGAAGAGGAAGGATGAGGATGATATTTTTGAAATTAAGATTTTAATTTTTTTAATGAAAATTGAGACTATTATATCCTATTCTTTTAATATTATCTAAGCCTTATATTGATCTTGGGCTGAGTTGGGAGGCCCCACAGCCTGCTTGTTTCAACTGTGGGTTTAATGGGCCCATGGTCCTACCATTAGTATTAATGAGGTGTAGGGTTGTAGTTGGACTTGGTCAAGATCTCTTTTCCAAAGTTCCCACAGAAGAAAACTCATTGCTATTATAAGTCTTAAGAAGAAGATGAAATGGACATGTGATTGGCAACCTGGGAAATCAGGGTGGTGGGTGAACAGCTACCTATCTCTTCTTTTTCATGGTCAGACCGTGAGATACCCACAACTTAGTGCAATTGTTCACATATGTATGTATACCAACCTTTTGATGAGTTGTACATCACCTTACACATTGATTTGTAGTTACTAATACCATTTTCTCAATCAAGAAAATAGGAAGAAAAGCCTTTTAAAGCAATTTATTAATTGATCAAACTTTGTAGTGATACAATGAATAAAAAGTCATCATCAACTTCATTCAATCAAAACAAGAGTTTCTTTTCCAAATTTCAACAGCACATCAGACATTTAAAAGAAAAAAACAAAAGAAAACAATTGACAAAACAATTGACAACAGGAATAAAAATAAAAATGAGGATTTCATCTCTCGAAAAATAAGGAAACCTCACGCAATTACCAGCTCTTGACACTATACATCATTTTCTATGTTACATAATGTGCACTGCATGTGTTGAAAAGTGAATAGATATGTCGTCGGTAGATTGCTTTCAAAGTCTAAACCCCCATTTCTTTGTCGAATCCTTCTTCATCCTCCTTGAGTTGGGATCAATGAGATTTTCCAGTGATTTTGCCTTTCTGTTTCTGGCCCTGCCTGCTTCTTTCAGAAGCTCAGCCAGCCTACTCTTTTCATCTTCAAAATCAGGATTTGCAGTTCCAAGCTTTTCCTCTCTCAATTTCAGAACATTCTCCAAGATCTCAATTGCATCTTCAACCCTAATATTTTCATCCAAATAAAGGGTTAAGTATCAAATATATTTTGAATATAAACATTAATATGAAAGAGGCCACCCTACATCAAACTTTTGCTCTTTCTAGTTTACTCTATCCAGAGTTTTCTATATCTTAAAAGCATTGCAACCAATGGTGAAGAACAAAAAATGCAGGACTCTACTACACAGCCAATAGCTAGCCCACACACCAAACCAAATGCAAGCGTAAGATGGGTAAATTTGCATGAAGATTGAAATAAATATTACCTGCCCATAGCATCATAAGTTGCAGCAAGATTGCTATATACTCCAAGGGTATCGTGATGACATGGACCACACTCCTGCTCTAGTATCCTTCTTGACTCTTCAAACAGCTCAGCAGCCTCATCAATCTTGAATAACTGTACACAAGCCAATCCCATCTGGTTCAACACAACTCCAAAGAAAGCTGATTTCCTCTCCCCACTAACTCGAAGTTTTGCCACAGCACTCTCAAAAGAGGCCCGTGCTTCCTCATACTTCCCTATCATGTAAAACATCACCCCCATTCGTGCTTCAATTCCAGCAATGGTGCTTTGCTGTCCTGGTTTATCCTCCAATAACTTCATTGCCTTCTGCAAGAGCTTCAGTGCCTCCTCAGGCTCATCCACAGACTCATATATGGCTGAGATTTCTGTTAAGCCACTAGCAATCTCTTCTGCTGTGGTTCCAGGCACAGGTTTTGTGTATATCCGCAGAGCATTTTCACAATATGACTTTGACTCTCTGAGCTTTCCTGTCCTCTGGTATAGGTCAGCAAGGCGTACAAAGACAGAGGCAACTGAAGGGTGGTTGTCCCCCTTTGATGATTTGAATACCGTAAGTGCCTTCTGATAGGAGAAGACAGCTTCGTCAAAGCGACATAGAGACATATAAATGTTGCCGATGCTAAGGTCAATAGCAGCAACCTCATTCTCCTGTCCATTTGCAATCATTGCCATGCTGGCAAGGACAAGGTGTTCAAGTGCCGCTTCATAATCACCCTTTGCCTCACATATGAGGGCCATCAGGCGGCGGTCAGCTGCCTCTTCAAGAGATGCTGGTTCACTGTGGGCACGATGAATTTCAAGAGTTTTCTTGCACAATTCTTCTGCTTTATCAAATTGCATTGCTTGAACATGGGCCTCAGACAAGTACCTGTCGCATAGATATTCTTAGCTAGTTGACTAGCATGTAAATTTAAAGTATGCTAGTCATTAGTTGGATCAACAATCATCCATATTAAACTTCCCTACTTACTTTCACCCCACCCTACTCTACTCCACTCCACTCCACTCCACTCCACTCCACTCCACTAGTTGTTTTGGTACACAAAAATGTTATTGTCATTGGAAAGAAAGATGGTTATATCAATGGAATAACAAAGACGTTCACTTTTAGTCTAAGTCTAACCCAAGAAAAGATCCAACTCTGCGCCTTTCTGTATTAGCAGAAGGGTTGAGTTATGCTTTGGATAAAATCCTAAATCTCAATACCAAATACTGCTACAAATTGAAAGACATGATATTCAACAATGAAACTTTAATAAAAAAAAAAAAAAAAAGAGGAAAGAACCTGCAAGTCTCGCCAACTCTGGGATCGGTCTCTCCGAGTGTCTGGATCTGAATCTTGAGGCCTTCCTCATAACAGGCAATAGACTTGTCCACCTGTCCAAGCATGGAGTAGGTATCCCCCAGCTGCATATTCCCCGAAAACGCCGCAAGTGCATGATCCGGCCCCCGACTTATGTCAGGCACCTGAATTGCCCGCTCCAGAACTGGCACGGCCTCGTCGAACCTGCCCAAGCTGCAGTAGATGGCGGCGAGCACGTGCAAGCTCATGACGAGATCCAAGCTGGGTTGGTCATCGAGCTGACACTTCTCAAATGATTTAGCAGCCCGAATGGCATAATCCAGAGCCTTAGTAGGACCCTCACCGGAAGCAATGGTATCGCGGGCGAGCTTGAGCAAGAAGGGACCGAGATCGGGGTTGTCGAGGGAGGAATCATCATCAGGTGGGGGCTTTTTGGAAGAGCGAGCAGGAGAGGGTTTAGATCGGGAAGGAGAGGGAGAAGGAAGGAGCTTTTTATTGGGGGTGCGGGGAGGAATGGAAGTGGATGATGGTTGTTGTTGTTGTTGTTGTTCGGGAAGTGAGATACGGAGGGGAGGGGCATCGGGGGGAGACTTGACGGCGAGACCCGGCATGGATGTGAGGTTGAATTGAATTGAAGGCTAGAAACGGGAACAGGAACACAGAGAGAGAGATAAAAGATAAGAAGATAATGG